TTTGTGCGAGTTATAATTTAGAATCTAATTACATTTGTCAAATTATACGCGTTATAAAATTTAAAATCAAACGTTTTTACCGCAATGCATTTTTATATAAGCATGACACGTAAGCAAAATTATAACTCAGTAGATCACAACATGTATCTAATAATAAGATTGATGATTAATATGTTAAAACTTAAAATTAATTGAGAAAAATAAGTTTTAAAATGTAAAATAGTTGTCAAGTTACTAATCATATAATAAAAAAATAAAATTTCTAATACTATCCATACTAATTAAGATGAAATATAAACATTATATAAGCCATAAAAGAAATAAATAATACATACAAAATAAAAATGATAGTATATAATTAAAAACGAATGTTAAATAAAAGGTATATAAACTGGAAATAAAAATATTATAAAGGTTATAGAAACCTCAATGTAAAAGTTTAAAGATATACACAACCATGCAAAAATAAATTAATAAAGGAATTTATAAAAATACTTATCTTATCAAAATAGAGTTATAGAATATCACAAAGAAATGAAATTTTTTTACTTATAACGCCATTAATATTCTCCAAGTGTATATGTTGAAAACTATGTAAGTTAAAAGATAATGATATTATATTTAGTATAAAGTTTGGCGAGTATAAATTTTTATGAAAATTATAACGATGACATTAATAAAATACAAGTATCAATCATGTATTTATGGTTCACAACATTATTTGTAGTTTTTATGAGGTAACTAATATAAATTTTACTTTTTGTGATTTAACTATATACTATTTTAATTGTTTTATTTCTATCACAAAATTCGTAAATATTCATAATGGATTAACATATATATTTTTGTGTTATTAAGAATATGATTTAAATTCTGATTATATATATTTTTAGATTTTCATGATATGTATTAAAACATGAGAATTATGATATAAAGTGATTTCTACTGGTGTTAGAATTTACGATAAATAATACTTTAAAATTCAACGGGTTATTAATTAAAATTAAAAATTTATTTCATTTATTTTTATTGTAATCATCCGCGTATAAACGCGGGTCCTATTCTAGTTTGTTTATAATTTTAATGAACATTTTAGTGTAATTGTCAAGTATAACCAAGAAAAAAAAATTAAAACTAACCACAACCCTCTTATGTGGCAAAATTATAGCCACTAGATTTAGAGAATGTTGGTTAGTTATTAGGTTTTAAATTTTTTCTTGGTTGGTATACAAATTAGGAAAAATTCTATAAAAATACCCTAACTAAGTTTCGATGAATTTTTTAATACCCAACTTTTTGAATGTCCAAATAAATACCCCAACTATTTTCTTTCACCAGTTTAATTCTCCAACTCTTGTCCGTCTACTCAGTTTACGAACTCGGGCTAACGGAACAGTAATGTCCGTTGTTTTATTACTTTT